GGGGGCGCGGAACAGAAGGATGTAGTATGTGTGGGCGAACAGGTCCTTCGATAGGCTCGTCCATGGAAACACCTTTTCCCAATCCATGTAAGGGATTTCACTTCTAACTGGCTCTAAACCTAGGGAATCCAAACCCTAGTCCTCACCAACTCCTCTCACCGGCTAATAACTAAGGGACTCTGAGCCCTCATACTCCAACACAATGTGGATTGGTGATTCGGAGATGCTCAGTTCAAGGGGTAGCTTGGGAAAAGTATTGGATACCGTCAAATCAAATAAAAAAATTCAACTTGTTCTTTTCTTTGGAAGGCCCGTCAGAGTGGAAACTAATGAGTCTTCTCTTCTTTTCAAAGCAGACAATTGCTTGACTCTTTTCCTGGCAGAGTCAATAGAAACTAGGAGCTTGATTAGCACTTCTGGAGCCGCCTTCTTAAGGAAATAAGCAAAACCACGTCAGAAAGAAAAATTCTACGAGCCCAATAGTCAAGGAGCAACCGGTTCAAATACTTTCTATGATCCTTAGCTCGCCACCCAAAACTTCTAACATAAACCTCCAAGATCTCCCCATTATCGGAGAGGTCGCCAGGATTTTTCAAACCTACTCCTCGATATTCGGGATGCTCTCCGTAGTTACCAATGTGGATGCAATCTGATCAGAAGGATGTATCCTAACGTTTGTCATTCCACGCCCCGAGATAGGCTTGTCCTTGGACAAAATCAACTCGTGAGTGGGGAGTTCGATGAATTAGTCGAACCAATCCTTATCATTTTATCCTTCGAGTCTATGAGAGTTCGGTTATCCCAACTAACCATCAAAATAATGTTTCCCATGAACGGCATGATGGAAAAGAAATGCGAAAGAGAGAACTGGACGTTAGTCACACTCACTAGGAAACAAAAGAACGCCATAAGCCTCCATACATTCGGCCCAACTTGGCCTAAGCACATGCTAAAATGGTAACACATGTCAAAAATCACGAGGTCTATCGGAGGTTCAAGCCCATAGGTGAATGAGTAAGTGTAGATAAAAGAGAAACAAGGCCTGTGGCTAGAAATTCTTTCGTTCTCCGAAGGAACGTGAAAGGTGACTTGGCCATCCCAATGACAATCACAAAGGATTAGGGAAATATATTCTTCACAAACAAGGGAGTATATGTTGTCGACATGAGAACTCCAAAATTATCCCAACACCTTATTCCATGCCTCAAACCCCCTCATAATCTAAACTTTTGGGAAGAACCTCTAGGATCAAAAACTTAGAGCGTTGCTTCCCCTTCCTGTCTTCGTCAGGTTTGGAAGCTTTCTTCTCAGAAGTGGTAGAAGATGAAGCTCTTACAGAAATAGCATGAATCAAAGTATGGGGTTTTATTGAAATGATTACGAAGCACCTCTAGCTATAGGCATTAAAGGTTGGTCAGCGCTGAAGAAGGGTCAAAATCTTGAGAATCCATGAGATTAGTAGAATAGAAGATGAGAAATGAAGGGTCAAGGGGAAAGTTAGTGATACAAGAAGGCAATGAAGAAGAGGATTTTCAGAGGAATTTTAAGTTAATTAGGAGGACCATAGCTAGGTATATATAGGCGAAAAACTTTTCCTTTCATAATCGCTAAAATCAAAAAGAGTTCCTATCATAGGTGATCATCATGACCCTGGGAACTATAAGAGATGAAGGAGTCAATGAGAGGCATCCACGTGTCTTAATACATTAAATATGGCCTGAGCATGGGTTACATCAATCTTAATGACAAAGTCCTATTGAAATTTTTTTCTTGCTAGAGAAGGATTCTAAGTAAGACTAACTCCCATAAAAAGACTAACACTTATCGAGCATTCATCGTCCAATTGCCTGACAAGTGGGGAGACTATTAGTATTGGTAAAATTTATCCTTTTCACGTGACAAAAGGGACCCAAGAATGGATATGGATGGCAGAAAATGTTACCGAGTTCGATAACCCTTTCTGTTTCAGAACCTTTGACTATTGGATGAATGTGCATTCGAAGAATGAATGTGCGCACTCGAAGACTCAGTCAACCGCGGTCGGAGATCGTGGATATTGGGCGTTAGACTGATGTGATTACCACTATCGAGGATTTCACTACTCACTACCTAATTTCTTGGTGTGATGTCCCAAAACTCGAAGCGGCAATGTTCTCCCCCCACTACTATAAAGACATCCTCCTTCTTCGAGAAGGGATCATCGAATAACAAAGAGAAAAAAATATTCATTAGAAAATTATCAACAATCTTCTTTATTTAACGTTGTCGTCAAGCTTTGCTCAACCATTGCAAAGTTCAATCACATTGTAGCTGATACGACCTATTAAAGCTCGTCCATAATAAGATTTTTCTTATTATTGCATTTATTTAATTTCATTCATTATCAGTTTTCTAGCTCGAAATCTAGATCGAACTGATTACTTACGGCCCTTAAATACAAATTTAATTATTTTTTCCAAAACCAAATTTTAGGTCAAACACCCTTCTCTAAGGCTCTTCTTCCAAATTCCTTTAAAAATACAAGGTTCAAATTGAAAATAAAAGTTTAACGCAACTTATCTAATGTAAACCAAGTATATGTTTTATATTATACATGTATATCCCTTTTTAGTCTAGTGAATGAAACATCTATCAATAAAAATACATTCGCTAAATAATCTCATTACGATTTAGTTCTCATATTATAATATCGTCGCTATAGTTCCAGTATAGCTTGTTCCCTAACCAAACGACCCCTTAGATTTTTAACCATTATGGGAATACCCCTTGGGAATAAAATTGGAATATGTAACTATTAAATAAAATAAAAGATCCTTTTAAATCTAAGATTATAAAGTATTAAAGCGAATTACAGTCTATTCGGTTTCACGTAAACTACCTCTGATTATTTAAGATCCTGATTTTTGTATAATTGGTTAAACTTATGTATTGATGAAGATATATCTAAAGGCAAACTTGATTTGTTTTAAGCAAACATAAGCTTACACATGCAAACTAAGCAACATTAATAATTGGTCATTCACAAACTTTTGGATCGGTAGACATGGGAAATCAAGTTTCAAAACCTTTTTATATAAATAACATGATTATTGGTTTATTTCAAAAGTATCAGATTTATTTACTTTTATAGCATATTTAAAATTTAAATATGATTTTCACAATAAATACTAAAGCACAAATTAAGGATCAGTTACCTAATTTACCAAAAAGCTAGTACCAAAAAAGAAGAGTTATAAACCCTTCCTCTTGCAATTCTCTCTTTCTATTTCCCAAACCCCTCCCCCATCCGTCCAATTTCATCACCATTTTTCATCCCTTTTCCAAAAGGAGATTCAACACACATATGTATTAAGACTTATTGTTTAAAGAGAAAGTTACACGCCTAAGCATTTTTTTAAAAATATTTAAGAAAATAATATCATTTGTTGTTTATTCCAAAAATGGCAGATTTTTTTACAATATTAGCATATCGTATAAATTATGCACACAATTAATGAGGCACAAATTATGGAATCAGTTACACTATTTCCTCTTATGTTATATCATAAATTCCGTCGGCTATCTCCTCTTGTTNTTCAGTTTTCTTTTTTAATTTTTTCAGGGTTTATGAAATATAATATAGATATATAGTTGTATAAATATTATTTATATAGTATACTACTTGGACTGATTCCATTCTAAAATGTATTCTAAATATATTCTAATCATACTTATAGATGATTTAGTGCATAAGAAAAAGTTCATATATATTAAAAGATTAATTCATTCATCTTTTCCCATTTTTATCTTGTTGTATTAATATTTGCAATAGCAACTAGAATGGACGAACATAAGCCGCAAGTATAAGAAGATACTTTGTATATTCAGTTTTCTTTTTTAATTTTTTCAGGGTTTATTAAATATAATATAGATATATCATTTATATACGATGTATTACAATAGTAATATACAAGTATATATTTTATATATAATAGTTATACAACAATAATATATTTTGTATAATGTAATATTTATACGATAAATATACGGCAGACTAAATCATAAAATTATTATATGCCCAAAATACATCATATATCACTACGAATATCCAAATAATTATCTACTATGTATGTATTAGTTATATACGATGTATATAATATAATAGTAATATACAAGTAGTATACTATATAAATAATATTTATACAACTATAATATATTCTATACTATATATATATACTTATTATTTTTAGGAGTATAAAAGGAATCAAATACAAAAGAAAATAAACATGTAAAGAAAACCTCCCATCATGTTCCCATATTTGAAAATCATCGCTTTTCTTCATTAAAAAAAGATAAATTAAAAGGGAAAAACCAAAAAGGAAATAGAAAATGAACAGTAATATGGTCTAATAGTTGTACAATCTTGTTCCCTATAAATCAGCTAAATGGAGTAACTTATCACATTAATTATTTTTTGGCAATTTTAGAACTTTCACTAAAAATAAGCAACGGAACATGGGAGGGATTGAGAGGTCCATTAATTAATTGATTATGTTTCTGTTAGAAATGTAGATAATTAGCTGCCACTTTTGTTAATTACTTATTCCTGCTAGGACTCTGAAAATTTTTCTTAAAAATTGACTAATTATTTTTTTACCGTTGGTAAGTAAAGTTTATTATAGACTAATTACTGTAACTGTCCCAACAAAAATTGCCTAGAGGGTAAATGATTAATGTACATTCTTTTTACAAAATTTTATAACCTGTGGAGATGTGGGAGTACAGAAACCGTCATCATGTTTTATATATCTCGCTTTGATTCTGGAAAATGAGATTCATAGATCTAGATAGAGTTTCAGGAAGAGTATGTGTACGTAGCCGATCACATTAGAGAGTTTCAGGAAATTGGTGTTCCAAGTGTGGGTGCAACTTCCACTGTCTTATTCTCCATTTTTTTTTCTCATTTATTCTTTAATTACTTGGTTTGGTAGTAAACATCCAAATATGATTCTTAAAAGAAATATAAAAATGCAATAAAACGCTTGTTTTAATGGTATTTCGCAGAATTAGTTGCTAGATCTCCACTTAGAGTTACATTAACCAGAATTAGAATAATTTCGAAAATTTAAGAGAATTGACAAGCTGCCAGAACACTTCCATCCATCATCAGAACAAGACTGCATTACTCATGTTCTTTGTTATTCACCTCACAAGTGGTATGAGCAAATACTCTGCATAGAAAAGCTGCCAGCCCAAAAAGAAAAATTTAAATGTATCGAATATACACAAACGAGGATGAACTAAATGAGCAAGGTAAGCCACATTGAGGATTAAAATTAAGGTGCAAAACTCTAAAGGCAGACTCAAGCCTAAACTTGTAGTGATATTGACAAAGTACTCTTCACCATTTTAGTGCAAAATATTCGTTATTGATGCTACAGTATGTGCCACTTGCTTTATGCATGATGACAATTACTTTGACATTATCAATCGCTAGTGTCTCCTCCTCTATACACGTTACAACTCTTTGAAAATTTAAAACAAACAAATATTTGCTGCCGCAGCAAATTTCTTTTCCCCCATCAATGCAAATGTTCTTCTCTTTCCTCAGTCGAGTTACGGAACAGTACTTATTACCGAGACTTGATCTTGAGAATAAGGCTGGTCAATATCCAATACTATACAATTTAACCACCTCATGTTGCTCCAAATTTTTATTTGGCTAACAGCATCAGATGGTTCTAATTAACATTACTTCCCAAGACCAAGTTTGGATAAGACGTCATATGAAAGGCTCTGCAGGTCGGTAATTGACAGCCGGCTACACTAATGACACTAGTAATTAACGCCAAATCACTTTCGATTTAGGGCAATTACAAAAACTCAACATGACAGAATATCGAGCTTCAATTTAATGTAAAAGAAATATTACAAGAATATAATTATCATATTTAAAATTGAAAAAGAACCAATATGAAGTTCAACCACAGGATCCTCTGGTGGATGTCATGTGAAACACCAAGTCAAGCGACTACATAAGTGCATACATATTTGTACTTGTCACATGTGTCTAAGCATGTTGCAATGAGAGATTAGCATTTGATAATTTTATTAAACTCGAGCAAGTGCAGGCAAATCAAAGGTAAACTGGTTTTACAACCAAACATATGGCATATGCAACAATACAGCCCGATGCACTAAGCTCCCGCAATGCGCGGGGGTCCAGGGAAGGGCCGAACCACAAGGGTCTATCGTACGCAGCCTTACCCTGCATTTCTGCAAGAGGCTGTTTCCACGGCTCGAACCCGTGACCTCCTGGTCACATGATATGCAACAATACAGCCCGATGCACTAAGCTCCCGCAATGCGCGGGGGTCCAGGGAAGGGCCGAACCACAAGGGTCTATCGTACGCAGCCTTACCCTGCATTTCTGCAAGAGGCTGTTTCCACGGCTCGAACCCGTGACCTCCTGGTCACATGATATGCAACAATACAGCTAGATAAGATTATATTGACTTGCTTTACATGCTGAATGGGCCACAGTTTCGAGCTAATGTGCATTTTGCATGACTTGGTTGCATTATCCACAAAGCTAGAAGAGATCTTACCTTCCATATGAACATGTAAAAAGATGTTATTGCCGCTTTTCTACTGAAATCAATTGATTTGGCTCGAGTCCAAAGTAAAAGAGCCAAAGCAGCATGACCAACAACCTGATCATTGCAAAATAAGCATGAATGTCAGTGCAGGTCATTTGGAAACTCAAATGTTAAACAAGACCAACCTATAAAACTGTAATCAAACGTTGGTAAATCTCACTATTGCTTCAGTAATTTTGAAAAACTTTCTGATTTTCCTATTTTGATTAAATTATTTGTGGTGATAACTTATACTCTGATATCTCAAACAAAAACAGGAGCAAGGAACTGAAGCCCCAATCCACTGCCCCATTGAGGTTATCTGGAAGATGTAAATTCAGAGCTAAGAAAATGAAAGCAAGTAAAGTACGAAATAAAGTGGAAATTAGGAATAATAGCAGTATGGAGGAAAAAATGGAAGAAAAGCTATAACAGAGAAAAGACAAGATCTACCTTTTCTTTGCTCTCCTTGAAAATGGTGTCGAGGTTGCTTCTCCAATTTACAACCCACACTCCACTAAGACAGGAGAGCAAAAAAGGAAGATGCCCCCACAGGATATTGGAAAGGGGTGAGATGGAAAAAGAGAAATAGAAAGGTATGATGCAATAAGAACAGAAGGGTGAAATTTCACTATATTCTGTTGGAAGGATCTGGCAATAATCGTCTTTTTTTTTAATGAAGAAATGTAGAAATAATCCTCATTAATTGCTACAGCATGCACCCTTATTTCTTTTTCAAGTAAACAAATGAAATAACAGACTTCAGCCATTGCCGATAACTACGTGCTGAGAATGAGAGAAACTTTTCCTTTTCAACCCAACTAATAATCCATTTTCCCCTGCTTTTTCTGAAAGTTAAAAATCCAAAAGCTGAAAATTCGTGATACTGAATTGAAAATGCAGACAGATGAATGAAATGACTTCTAATTTGGGTATGCTAACCCTTTTATTTGGACTTTTGTGAAATATAAGCCACAGAAGGCAGATCAGATGTACCATCTTGCTGGGTAGGGAGGAAGTCTTTATGTATATTGAGTCATTACTGTTTCAGTAACAGCTTGTCTTTAGCGATTTGCCTACTTACAAAATTTCTTTTTCGATAACTAACAATCTCTCTATAAAGCAATTATACGAGTTCAAGGTGCATTACAGTAAAATATTTGCTCCAGATGTTGGAAGAAGTTGCACCCACTACAATGGCAACAAGATAAGCCATTTCGAGAAGAGATATACAAATCCAAAAGACCTGCCAAAAGTGTAATAAGTATAGTCAGGTAAAAAAGACGACAGAATAAAATAAAATAAATTCCTTAAGACCTTGGCTATACTTTTGGTACTTACCTTCTCTTGACCCAAGCGCACAGTAAAAGATTGAATTCCGAAAATCTTGTCACCAACAATATCAGGTATATCCTACAGTATCATGTGAAAATTGGATATGACTTTCTGTAGCTTCGATGTTTTGTAGATAACAAATGATCACATTTCAGGCTATGAAGCTAGAGAGAAATTAGTTTCGTAAATTTGTTATGTGTTTTACATTTTTGTCTTACGTCGATCTATACTTATAAAACAAAATTTCAGTTTTCCATTTATGATCTCTTTGAGTAACACCGTGTTATTCAACAACAACAACAACAACAATGTCAGTGTAATCTCACAAGTGGGTTCTGGGGAGGGTAGTGTGCACGCAGACCTTACCCCTACCTTGTGAAGGTAGAGAGACTATTTCCGAAAGACCCTTGGTTTAGAAAAATCATAGACACAATATAATTGGAAAGAAATAAATCAATGGAGAAGCCATGTAAGAAGAAGCAGTAACAAGACAACCAAAGCAAAAAAAGAAAAAAAGAAAAAAAAGAAAAAAGCCATAATATTCAGCATCATGACAGAAATCTGTTCTTTAGTGATGGAAGCAGCTCTCTTTTGTCAAAAGGGGAGTATCCAATAAGGATAATAAGTTCAACCAAGAAAGTAGCTGATGTCTGCATATCATTAATGCAGTGTTCTAGCCAGCTCTCAAGCGTTACATGCATTACCAGATGACTCAACTTGTGATCATGTCTGAATATATACAGCGACGCAATACAAATCGTTTTCAAGTTAACCGCCAGATACTAGGTAGTTCGAAGGAAGACTTCCTCCCACAATTTTAATTAGTTTCAGCCTATGTTGCGCGGACTCTCCAAAATGTAGCCGCACCCGTGTCAGATCCTTCAAAAATGCTCTACTTTTGGAGGATCCGATACGTATCCGGCCACATTTTCGGAGAATGCGAACAACATAGGTTTCAACTTTCATCCCATTAACCTGATACAAGGATGCCCTGTCCTTGAGATTCTGCCAGTTTTAAATAACTTGAGCTCAGATTACTTTTGTTGGAGGAGGTAGATTCTTGATTTTTACCCAGTTTGTTAATAAGTTGGCATCCCATTAACCTGATACAAGGATGCCCTGTCCTTGAGATTCTTCCAGTTTTAAATAACTTGAGCTCAGATTACTTTTGTTGGAGGAGGTAGATTCTTGATTTTTACCCAAATTGTTAATAAGTTGGTAGAGGATATAGCCGCTGCAGTGCTGATCTGAAGCTGTACACAAAACCCATGCCATGATAGTGGAGTTTACAAACTCCTGATTATGATAGGTATTAGGAGTCACTCCTTGTATTTAACAGTTTTCTTCCCCTTTTCTTTGATTAGCAAAGATTTAAACTTCCCCACATAACTCCTATGCAAAAGCTATATTTTGACTTTTGGAATTGGTAAATCCTTCCTGGGTGAGTTTAGTACCTGGAATTGTTGAATGATAAGGAATTATGTAGCTGTACTAAATTTAAATTATAGATGCAAAAGTCCTACTACAAAGAATTGGCTTGCGTAGCTCACAAAGGCACTCTTGCCAACAATTTGTTGGGCTTAACATTAACTCGAAAAACTTATACACTATAATAAATACATCTACTATAAATATTAACACTCTACACTCGTATAAGGATCAGCCTCCAATATTTTGAAGGAAAAAACAATAAAGATTTTAGCTAGAACACATTACAATACAACACAAGTTTTACAAGAGTTACTAGATGCTCTTCCAACTATTATAGAGGCTCCGTTATATAGGGAATGAAAAACTCCTACAACTTACACTAGTAAATTTACATAACAGTGGAATGAAAATACATGACAAGTTGTTTTCCACAATCCAAGTGGAGGAGATCACACATAAAGGACATTTTCACATAAAAACTTAATGATAGAATAGTAGTGAGGAATCTCTTATATTATAGAGATATATTAGGTAATGGACAAGACATAGGATAGAGTGTGAAATCTTTTCATGAGCTAGAGAACAAGACATGGGATAGATGTTTTTTATGGAAAGAGCTAGTGGACAAGGCATGGGATACTGGGATTTTTATGGAAAAGAAAACCAAGAGAGGGGAAAAACATGGAATAGTGGGAAGTTTTTGTCAAGACATGGCAAGACAAGAGATAGTGGTCTTATAAGTACTTTGGATTTTAGTGGGAAAAAATAGGATTTTAATGGATAATTTTGGTGAGGTTCAAATGGCTTAAGGTTGTAATGTCCTTCAATCCACCACTCTTCGCCATGCTTTTGTTTGAATTTTGCTTTATATCTCTATCTTATCTTTTCTGATCTTGTGAAATACCTTTTGCTATGTGATGGTTCCATATGATATACTTTTTTCTCTTTCCCCTTTTATTGGGGAACATTTGATGGTATATTTAATGTACCACCAAGACTTAAGGGTAAGTTCTATGGAGTGGTCGTTAGACTGACTATGTTGTATGGGGCGGAATATTGGCCAGTCAAGAACTTTCATGTTCAGAAGATGAAAGTAGTAGAGATGAGGAGACTGAGATGGATGTGTGGGCATACAAGAAGAGATTTGATTCGGAATGAGGATATTTGGGACAAGGTAGGAATGGCCTTCGTGATGGATAAGATGCGGGAAGCAAGGCTGAGATGGGTTGGACATGTGAAGAGGAAAAGCATAGATGCACCATTAAGGAGGTGTGAGAGGCTGGCAATAGTAGGGCTGAGGAGAGGTAGAGGCAGGATGAAGAAGTATTAGAGAGAGGTGATTAGACAGGACATGACACATATTTAGCTTGATGAGGACAATGACCCTTGATAGAAGGGCGTGGAGGTCGAGGATTAGGACATAAAGAGGTAGTCGAGCGTACGACTTTCTATCATCTTGCGATTGTCACCACTTTTCAATCTTGTAATTATAGTATCATTCGCCGAGGGTCTATTTGGAACCAGCCTCTCTACCCCAGGGTAGGGGTAAGGTCTGCGTATACACTACCCTCCCCAGACTCCACTAAGTGGGATTATAATGGGTTGTTGTTGTAATTATAGTATCATTCTCGTATATTCTTATTCTTAGATTTTTATTACTACCAATTGTTTTTATTACTTCGGTTTTCTTATTAACTTGTGATAAGTTGGTATTTTTCCCAACTTCTCTTATGCCTTTTAATAGAGATATGCCCCGGTTGATGTGATCAATGGACTAATTATGTTTTGAATGATATAATTGCAAGTCGTGGAGTTGTGTGAGAGATAAGAGATTGAAAATCATCAAATACCGGCAAGAAAACATCAACTTCAGGCCAAAACTGAAGAAGAAAACTAAAGAAGCAAAAGTCCATCCTATGTGGCCACATAGGTCACCCACGCAGTTGGAGAGCTTGGAGGCTAAAAGTTAGAGTTCTGGAAGTGGCCACGCATCCTGCGTGGACCACGCAGCTTGGTCACGCATCCTGCATGGGCCACACAGCTTAGCCACACACTGAGAGATGAAGAATAGAGCATTGAGCCGCGCATCTTGCATGGGCCACGCAACTTGGCCACGCCGGACCCGACGAGGATAAATTTGTCCAACTTTTCGAACGAGAATAAATGGTACTTTTTAGGTCTTTTCTGAGTAACTTTGACAAAGAGGACTATTGTATGAGCGGTTGTGAGTTTTCCTGAGGGTTAACAAGTGACATCACAGTTTCTCAATCATCTTCTCCATTACCATCAATGATAGGATTTCAAGATAATTTGATTATTTCTTCGAGCTAAATTCATTAGCTAGGTTTGTGAATCCAGAGTGGTGTTATGACTATGGGTTATTAATATAGATTCGTGTTTTATTCAAATATTGTGTTATCTAATTGCTCCATAATTTCTTGCATGATTTGGTGGTTGCAAACACTAGATTAACGCCTATCACACTCAGTTCTAACTTGGAGAAGTGGAACCGAGTTTAGGTATAAAGCAATTAGCAAAGAATTGGGTGGATTAAGGAATTAATCTCATCTCAATTAATAGAACCAAACTAGGAATACGGAGATTCTTACTTGGGCATTAACAATTGTATTGCATAGAACTATAAATAGCTTGGAAAGGCATTTGTGAGTAAAAACCTCCTAGTGTTGGAAAATACTAAGTTGGTATTATAGATATTGTTGTCATAAAACATGTTTGACATTATCATGCACAGTAAAATCACCTCCAGAATATAGCTTGACATGACTTCAAGATCAGTGACCTGACAAAGTTGTCATGACTTTAGCAGGAGTAATACTCCTGCTCCAGATTGACATGTACTTACGTCAGTGTTTTCCAGGCTTGGACAGATCAACAGTTGGCAGCTTAGCATTAAGCTTCAGGATGAAGACGAAAATCATTTATGGCTAGTAGTTCTTAGTTCTTACAAACTTAATGTATAATTCTGAGCAACGATTGCATAGCTTTTAGCCAAAATTTACTGAAAGTGGCATTTATCAAAATGTATGGATGTACATCTAAGATCACATAAAATTGTTACTTGTTCAAGGCCATCATAACTTTTAACCCTTTGGATTAATCTTTTATCTTCCAGCTGTGTCTTAAGAGTGGATCAAGGTGTCACATTCATTTTCTTAGGATTTGTGATAGATGTCAATCACTATCGCTTGTATCATATCTTGCTATACATGACGCTCCCATTCCAGAACTCTGTTCTAGACATACATTCACTTTGGTTTCTTACTTGTGTCAAGAACTTCATGCTAGGGTGGTTAGTGTTGTTTGAGTTTTAGATGGGGTGAGGTACCTAACAGTTTTACCCGACTCTTTGAAAACAGCAGTTTTAAAACAAATCATTTTACATGGTTCGTACTATATAGTTGGCTATACACTAGTTAGATACATGATAGAGAAGTGAATTTGTCCGTGTAGTTTTTACTGTGAAAGCAAAGTAACAAATTTGACTCACTTTGTTTCTTCTTCTCAAAGAACATCTAGTCATCCATAGCAGCTATTTTCTTCTTATGTCATATAAAATAAGTCTCTTTCTCGTAGATATTAAAACAACTAATCAGGATTAGAGAGCATATATTTACCTTGAATAATGCTATAACAACTGAGAAAAAGCTCATGAATGCTGTTGCAAATATCAAAGGTCTTGAAAGGACAGCTGGTCTTCTGTACACATAAGTCTGAAAATTGAAATTACTTTTATCAAGAAATGAGAGAAGAGCACTATAAAGTTAAAGTTGATCCTGGTAGTCTATGACTTAAGCATATTTGATCTAGTTATTAGTTGACGCAAATATATATCTACAACAGACTAACAACTATTAATTGTTAATATTGAGCAGCTAAAAATCTGACGATTAAGAACAATACCCAACGACAAAGATATGAGTTTTCACATGAACTGGATCCTTTTCTTTTCCTCCTCTATTTTTAATTAAATGAAGTCGAACAATTACATAACAGATGCAAGGTGTTCGGTCCTTACCAATAACATCAAACATGTTCTGACAGCCATACTAGTTGAAATTTTAGGTCTTCATATGGTACAGTAAGCACTTTAACTATGCATTCTCTTTGAAGACAAAACAAAAAGATAACTGTAAATTGTAGAAATAGTAAAGACCTGAATATGCAAATAAAAGGCTATCTGAACTATCACTGCTCGTACAGCAAAGATGCACATTGCAGCAACCAAGGGAAATCTCTTCCATCTCAAAAGTGGCAGCTGAAAATGTAGCAGCATTTTGAAAAGCAACAATCAGAAACACTTCCTGAGATATCATACACAATTTACTGATCTTACAGCCATTCATACCATGGAAGTGAAATTATCCAAGTTAGAGAACTCTCTGGACAGCATCTAATTCACCACCCTCTCCTAAGCTTCATTTCTTACATATAACATTTATTGCAACCCACTTACTGTCATGCACTCTGGGAAAGCAATTATAATTAAATGTGGTGATGAGGTGATGAATATTCTCCCTTATTATTGCTTTCCCCTTTTTACCAGATTGTAACAATACAGCAACAGCTAATGAAACAAGTGACAAAAATACAGATCTGATATAATAATTTAAAGCAAAACTAAAGAGGAGAGACCGGATTATACTTATACAGTCTAAGCAACAATTTGCAGGAGGAATCTTCTAACACTCTTTGAAGGTAAAATATGATGGTAAAATCTGCAATAATTTTGCTATAAACTGGTTGCATTAGACATTATGCTGTAACTTTGACTCCTTTGTCCAAGATTATATAACATTCTTTCCGTTTTGAAATGACCCAAATAATTTGACACCATACACTACTTTAATAGCTTTACAATACTCAACAATACTTGAAACGATTCAAATTTTAAACTTCAATGTGATGTTTCCTCTATCGGACTAACTTCTCAACCACTATTTTATTAGCTTCTTCCACTACTACTGTGAGAATGCACGGTAGAAAAATCTTATTGATCTTCAATTTAATTATAATACAATGTGTCCTATTTATACAATACATATCATACTCCTATTCTATGTGGAACTAGGACTAATTCATATTATTTACATAATTATCTAGCACTCCCCCTCAAGCCGGTGCATACAAATCATATTTATCGAGCTTGTTACATATGTAACTAATACGAGGACCAATAACGGACTTGGTGAAAATATCTGCAAGCTGATCATTCGACTTCACAAACTCTGTAGCAATATCTCCTGAGAGTATCTTTTCTTTGACGAAGTGACAGTCAATCTCAATGTGTTTAGTTCTCTCATGGAACACCGGATTTGATGCAATATGAAGGGCAGCTTGATTATCACACACAAGTTCCATCTTTTTTATCTTACCAAATTTCAACTTATTAAGCAAAAGTCTGATCCAAACTAGCTCACATGTTGCCACAGTCATTGCTCAATATTCTACTTTCGCACTAGACCGAGCAACCACATTCTGTTTCTTGCTCTTCCAAGACACCAAATTACCTCCTACTAAAACACAATATCCAGACGTAGAACGTCTATCAGAAGGTGATCTTGCCCAGTCAGCATCTGATTACCCAATAATTTGCTCATGACCTCGATCTTCAAACAATAATCCTTTGCCTGGAGCTGATTTTATATATTAAAGAATACGGACAACTGCATCCCAATGACTATCACAGGGAGAATCCAGGAACTGACTTACCACACTCACAGGAAAGGAAATGTCAGGTCTAGTCACTATTAGGTAATTTAATTTACCAACCAGCCGCCTATACCTTGCAGGATCGCTAAGCGGCTCCCCCTGCCCTGGTAGAAGTTTAGAATTCGGATCCATAGGAGTGTCAACAGGCCTACAACCTATCATTCCTGTCTCATCAAGAATGTCTAAGGCATACTTCCGTTGTGAGATTACAATACTTGAGCTAGACTAATCAACCTCGATACCTAGAAAACACTTTAATCTGCCCAGATCTTTAGCCTGAAAGTGCTGAAAGAGATGCTTCTTCAACTTAGTAATATCATCCTGGTTATTGTCAGTAATAACAATATCATCAATTTAAACCACCAGATAAAGACAGAGTGATCAGCTTCACTACGAGTCATGCCAAACTCCTGAATAATTGTGCTGAACTTACCAAATCAGGCTCGAGGGGACTGCTTTAGACCATAGAGGGACCGGTGCAACCGACATACAATGCCACTAGACTCCCCCTGAGCAACAAAACCAGGTGGTTGCTCCATATAAACCCCATCCTCAAGGTCACTGTGAAGAAAAGCATTCTTAATGTCCAACTGATAGAGATGCCCATGGCGAACAGCAGCCATGGATAGAAAAAGGCGGACTGATGCTATTTTAGCCACGGGAGAGAAAGTACCACTGTAATCGAGCCCAAATATTTGAGTATACCCTTTGGCAACAAGATGAGCCTTAAGTCGATCAACCTGGCCATCTGGACCAACTTTGACTGCATACACCCAACGACAACCAGCAATCGATTTACCCGAAGGAAGAGGAACAAGCTCCCAAGTACCACTCGTTTGTAAAGCAGACATCTCGTCAATCATATCTTGTTGCCACCCTGGATGAGACAGTGCTTCACTTGTAGACTGAGGGACGGAAACAAAGGACAAAGATGATACAAATGCACAATGGGCTGATGACAGACGATGGTAACTTAAACAGACATAATGAGGATTAGGATTAAGTGTGGACCATATACCTCTCCGTAGTGCAATCGGTTGACTAAGAGTAGACAAGTCCGTAGTATTAGCAGGGTCAGGTGCATGCCGTGAATCAGCTGGGCCTGATGCTGGGCGCGGACGACGATGATAAGTCGGGAGTAGTGGCACTGGAGAAGGTTGAACTGGACTAGGTGGTGGAACTGGAGCTATAGGTGGTGGAATTGGAGCTATAGGTGGTGGAACTGGAGATATAGGTGGTGGAACTGCCAACTGGAGCTGTAGGTGGTGAAGCTGCAGTAATAGAGAAAGATGAATGGGAGACAATGACTGAATCTCCAAAAGATGAAACTGGTAGCACCTTAAAAATATCTAAGTGATTACCTGGACTTGTGAAGTATGATTGCGTTTCAAAGAAGGTAACATCAGCAGACATAAGATATCGCCGGAGGTCAGGAGAATAGCATCGATATCTCTTTTGTGTTCTCGAGTAACCCAAAAATACGCACTTAAGAGCACGAGGAGCTAACTTATCTTTTCCTGGAATAAGTTTATGAACAAAACACGTGCTCCCAAAGACACGGGGTGGAGGAATGAACAAAGGTAAGTGGGGAAACAAGACAGAGAATGGAACTTGATTTTGGATAGCTGAAGATGGTATACGATTAATAAGATAACAAGATGTAAGAACTGCATCCTCCAAAAACACAATGGAACAAGAACTGCATCCCCCCAAAAACGCAATGGAACATGAGATTGTATGAGTAGGGTACGAGCTGTTTCAATAAGATGTCTATTCTTTCTTTCAGCTACCCATTTTGTTGGCATGTGTACAAATAAGATGTTTGATAAATAATCCCACGAGAGTTCATAAATTGCTGAAATGGGGAAGACAAATACTCTAGGACATTATCACTACAAAATGTGCGGATAGAAACCCCAAATTGATTTTGAATTCCAGCGTGGAAGGTCTGGAAAGTAGAAAATAACTCAGATCGATTTTTCATCAAAAATATCCAAGTGCACCTGGAATAATCATCAATGAAACTGACAAAGTAGCGTAATTCCAAGGGAGAACTAATCTGACTAGGACCCCAAACATCTGAATGGACTAAAGTAAAAGGTGACTCTGCTCGATTATCAAGACGCCGAGGGAAATGAAAGCGGGTATGCTTACCGAGCTGACATGACTCACACTCTAGAGTGAACAAGTGAGATAAGTGAGGTACCATTTTCTGAAGTTTTGACAAACTGGGATGTCCCAACCGTTTATGTAATAAATTTGGTGAATCAGTAACAAGACAAGTTGTTGAAGGAAGACAAGATGTGAGTCCATGTTATTTTGCAAGGATAAGGTAATAAAGTTCATATGATTCACGCCCGGTACCAATGATCCGCTCTGTACTGCGTTCCAGTATAAAAACAAGGTCATCAAGAAATAAAACCGAGCATTTAAGTGATTTAGCTAAGCGACTAACGGCTATGAGATTAAAAGGACTACCGGTAACATAAAGAACTGAATCTAAAGGTAAGGAAGGAAGTGGACTTGCTTCACCTATTCCAGTTCCCATGGTTTGAGACCCGATGGCCATTATGGCTGTTGGGAGAGATTGAGAGCATGAAATAGTAGTGAAAAGAGATTTGTTACACGAAATATGATCAGATGCACCTGAATCAATGACCCAAGACTCGGAGGTTGAAGATTGGGAGACACAAGTCACGCTACTATCTGTTTGAACAACGGAAGCTATCCCTAAAGATGTCTGTTTACATGTTTTGTACTAAAGGAACTCAATATAATCCGGTAAAGAAACCATCTGGATTGCATTGGATCCAACGGATTGTGAGTCAAAGGCTTCTGATACGAATGCCATTATAATGTTTATGCCGGAAAGAGCAAAAATTTTCTGGGAATTACTGTTCACGCCGAAAAATATAAAAGTGGTCAGAATTTGATTTAAATTAGATGGGTAGGCTCGGAATTGTGAGGAGAGCAAACTGTCCTGAAGAAGCTTCATGAAAAACATGAGCGGAAAGTAGCCCACGCGCCGGCGCATGGGTCGGAACCCTCGCCGTAAAAGTTTCTGTTGCCGGCACGTGGAGGCACGTGGCAGCTTTTCTGCCAGAGAAAATTTAAGGGGTTGGTCGCCGGAGGATGATCTACCTCATGGTGGTGTTGGTTTTTGCACAACACCGATAGAAAGTGACTTTCAATTAGATAGGCCTTAGGTCACCGGAAAAATTGCACGATGACTAAGTTCTTTCTTCCCGGTTACGCTAGAATGACGCACAGCGATCTTTTCTCACTAATGCTCTGATACCATGTAAAAATGCACGAGAGAAAAATCTTATTGATCTTCAATTTAATTATAATACAATGTGCCCTATTTATACAATTCATATCATACTCCTATTCTATATGGGACTAGGACTAATTCATAATATTTACATAATTATCTAACAACTACTAATATAGTAGAAGTTATATAACCATTTAAACTTCATGTCCAGTCAAGTACTGTTTTATAAAATGGAATAGAGGGAGTATAAACTAGAAGATACTATTTCTACTGGAAAAGACAGAGACTCGGAAGAAATACTTAAAAGAATAAGAGATGCCTGATGACCCAGTCACTTGTATATTTCATCAAATGCATTCACAAAAAATAGTAATGGATGTGAAGTAAAGATACATATTACGTGTTCAGGCTTTGGAAGCAAATTAGAGAGAAAAGATATTCTCTATTTGACTATAAACAAGATAATAGAGATGCACTATTTCCTACACAATCAGGGCCACAACATAGCTGATCATTTCTTTGATAAGAAGCATAGTTAGCTGATCATTATCCAAAGCTTTGTGGAAGTTATAGAATTCTCGACAAGTTATCTGGTTTCAAATTTACCTGCTAAAGAATCACTAAGAGGTAGAGAATTTATCAGTTATACAAGTCTGCCTGTGAGGACCAAATTACTACTGTGAAATGAAACTTCAAAGGCAGTCAAATTGACCCTTCGAAAACGTAGAAGGAAGAAAGGTCAATCACAGAACTATAGGACTATACAAGTTTACCTAGCAAAAAAATCCAAAGACTTAAGAACAAGCAGAAAACTTATTTTGTCACTGATACCAGAAGCCCAGCTTTACCCCTCATGAAAACACAAGCTCTTGGAACCAGTACAAGCTAATCAAATTCAAAGAGGAGAACTGTTAATCAGCAGTTCGGGAGGTCAATAAGATAATAAGTGGATAATAATATGAAGACTTACGAAAGGTATTGTAATACGTGATATCTACCGTGCATAATAGGAAATGCCACCATACCTAGTATTTTTTTTCCCCTATTTGTGGGATAATACAATAGAACCAGATCGTAATAAGGTGTTAAGTGGGCAACCTATCTGCTACATTATGTATAGTTTAATACAATCATGTTCCTCGCAACTCGATGTCAACCAGGGTAGGAAGTTTAAAAAAAATTGCCTACTGTGGAAAAAACTTTTAACCATCAAGATGGAATATACTAGAGCCTTTTATCTACCATAAAACAACTCTTAACTTTTTAATTTACCTGCAACATAGATAATTGCAAGGTCTTTCTAACTTAAGTTACCTACTAAAATCATGACAAGGAAAAACGAAAGAGAAACAGAAGAATAAGAAATGCTGCAACAATATTTTCTTTCCCTTTTAGATTAAAATGATTATTCATGATGTCAAGCTACTCTAAAAAGAACAATCTATATGAGAGAATAAATAAACTCATAATTTTGTTAACCAGTAATTAGCTGTCACAATGAGATGCAACTCACGTTGATTGAGTAGGCAGTTCCTAGTACAAAACTGATGAATAGAGCCCAAAATAAAGGCCAGGAACCAACGATCCATCCAAGCCAAAAACTCTGAAAAGGAGGAGTACGAGGTATTTCTGTAGTCAGGATACGTGTACAGGAATATCTATTGATGAAATTTAATGCTTTGGAAAACAGAAACTTGAAAAATAATAGAATTCTTGCAAGTTCATATGATATGCCACGACTCTTGCAATTAAGATAAGACGATTGTAGAGCAGTAACATAACATCAGCCAATGAAGAATAATTACCCAAGCCCCAAGAATTGAGCAACCAATATTTTTTTAAATTTTTATTTTTTCACACATTGCAACCCATATTTTGGTCTCAGTGACTAAGGATGATACATATCTAATAATGCAGATACACGAATAAGCTTCAAGCTTCATATTTAGAACCCCTTCTTCCTTTAGGCTCAAAAATTATATCACTTACGATTTCGTAACAGAAAAAGAGGAACACAAGATGACAATAGAAACCTGATGTTTTTCCGAGTTTTACAATTCTAATAAAGGGTAGAAATGAGGTCCATCAAAAAAGTACTCTGCGTTTAATCTATTTTACTTCTTATCTTCTCAGAAACTTCAAATAGAATTATAGAAATGCTGCTTTTAAGTATTCTATGACAGTAAAGCACATAAACATACAGCTAAAAGTAAAACCAATAGAACAAAATGTGAAGCTTACATGCCTAAAACAAACACTTGACCATTGTGTTAAGCAGGATATTTAAACTCTGATACTGCTTTAACAGCGAATCCCGTACCCGAACCCCAAAAGATTCTGAGGGACAATAGGGATTGCAATATTCACCAACCCTCACTACTTTCTAACTTTTCTTCTAATTCCATGAAGATTAGGCTGGGCAATCCTGAAGATAAATGTTTACCAAACATATGAATGACAGCAAATAAGAGCCAGAATACGTATTATTTGCAGTTCGAGAAGACAATTTTCTCCATGGTGGTTAAGTACAGATCTTTAAACTCACCAGAATGGCGAAAGACGACACGATAATTACTCCAGTCTGCAAAGAGTATTCCCCTGATGCCAATGGAAGATATGGCTTGTTTACCTGGGAAAAAAAAATATTAAAATTTCACATGCAGAAGTAGAAAAAGTTGCTGGAAAATTTTATATCAACAAAGAAAGAAAAACTAAATATACTCCCAGGAACTTTTCCTTGGAGAAAAAAACATAAACTGCAATCGTCCTTATCACGGACAGATTTCAGGAAAGATTTTATACTGCGTGAGGATTATAATGAAATGACAATTGATTAAAAGAGAATTGCTGTAGGGCCTTTTTCCCAGTAGTAAAACAATTACAGACTTTTGAGAGTTAGATAGTGTATATCTACTGGTTGACAAGCTAGATACTCAAATACCTTCATAAACATTGAGTAAAAAGAGCAGTATTCAGTGAGTTCTAAATGACTTCTCGTGTATCAATATGCTGCCAAAGACGAATCCAGGAATTACAATTAGTATTAGCCTATATAAACCCATGTACCCAGCACCCTCCCTAGCCCAAATATAAAATGACAGAACACAAACATGAAATGTGGCTTCTCGAATTAAGCCTTCATACTGATATCCGAAGCCTGCATGTTCTGCATTCAGAAATTAAATTCACGGAAACTAAATAGAAAAATACCTTGTCTATTTCAATATCAGACAACTGGTTTAAACCAACTATGTAAATATTCATGAATAGGGCAGCAACAATAGCCTGCAACAATATAGTGGATATCAAAATTTGTCATCCCAGATCACATCGTCCGTTGGACTTAAGAATGGTCTTTACCCACCTGTAACATCCCGGTAAAAAATAATGGAGAGAAATCAGAGAACTTCTCAACTGCAAGGAGAGAAACTGAAATTATGCTCAATGCCTGCTCAGAGAAAAGTAATGTAAGTCACTGTTCTAATACTTTTAATCTATCAAAATTCAAAAACAACTATATTCGATTGCATGCGTGTTTGCATAATTATGCCATGAAATTTCAAGCTTTGTCCATTAGGCAGATTCTCTGAAATTAACATCTTTCGACACCTTCTGAAATTAAAAACCTATTCCTCTAGCTACATCTAATGAAATTCATAGTAGTCAAAGTCCAAATATGCATTAATAAAAATTCAATTCTGGGCAAGGCATTGTTGGCTCCATAAATTAAAAGTGGTTAAGACTTATAATGACATAAATAAACACAAATGAATGATGGAGTTTACACAGATAGATAACGAAATAGTATGGCATATCAGATGACATGAAAACAATATAGGAGTTGTGGACCTAACTGTTCCTATTACGGTATGGGGCCGCGAGAACCTGTAGAAAGCATCCACTGCATCATGCACTGAGTTCCATGGACTCTTTGAAGGTTGAGATTCAAGAGGATGTTCAGAGGATGCATGCACCAAAAACCTCTCTTTAAGTTTTCGATCAGTGGGAATAATGCTTCCATAACTGCCTCCAACAAGCTCCTGCGTCATATACTGCCTTTGCAACTTCATAGAAGTGGAATCGTGCTTTCCTGGTCTCTTCCATGCTTTACACTTCAAAACTCGTAATATTGTGCGTGAACCTATTATGTCGCCATGTCGGAGGCATAGAGAGAAACATATTTCAGGGTATTAACAGAATCCAATCTATTTCTCCACTTGGTACTGCATACACATTACAGAAATTTCCTACTTCATAGATTCTAGCTTTTTCAAATCATAAGTGAACACTATACAGTGGAAACAATATACAAAAGCACATTGCATCATCCAAGAGCATAAGTCTTTTCCCAGTATCATCCCAGCAACTACTATCATATTTGCTTGTCTTGTCAAAAAAACAGCACCATATTATTCTTCTCTTGATTTACTATCACTTTTTCTGCCAGAGCTATGACTTCAGCACATAGAATGAACTCAAGATTGAACATATATTCAAATTAAAAGCAAAAGTAGGTGATTTCTTCCCGGCGGAAGCCAAAAACACTAGGTAAATTCTTCTCATCTGCCTAACCTTGAGGTGCAGAGTTAGCTGGTACCTGTGCTAGCAGGTACCGGTGGAATAGTCGAGGCGCGCGCAAAAGCTAGCCCAGACACCACCATCATTAAAAAAATAAAAGGAAAACTGCAAGAAACCCACCACCATCTAAAGTTGCAACACTCAAAAAATTACTGGAACTAATGAACACACAAAGAGCAGGTCCTTAATTAGAAATTGCAATGAGGACATAGACAAATTAATTAGCTATTGAGCCAGGAAAGAGATTCAAATTTTACATGCTTCAAGAAAATACAGATTTCCAACCACACAAAATCATCAAGAAGACTAAAAGACATTAAAAGAAATTCAACACCCAATGTGGAACTAAGAACTTCCAGAGCTTAGAGTCCAGCACTTAGAAACAAACTCAAGATTGAACATATTTTACAATTAAGAAGCAAAATATACAAGAAAACTACATCATGCAAAGCTGAAACACTCAAAAAGTCCAGAAATTCATGAACCCAGTAAGAAATGAGAATGGAGACATAAATAAAAAAATTAGCTAAAACCCCAGCAAAAGGATTCAAGTTTTAATAATGTGCATACTGGTTTTGAGTGGAGAGAACTCTGCTGCAAGTGGAACGGATGGTCTCTGAAACGACCTAATAAGCAAAGACTCCATTTTTTGATTTCTCAAAGGTACCCTAACTTTAACTACCTAATCGTAACTATCTTTAGCTTATTAGAAATCAAATTAATTTGAACTAGAACCTAGCCACCACGTTCTCTCTAGTGAAGTTAATGCATGTATTCTGCTAGTTTAGTTCGGTACACCTAATTTTCTCAGGTGGGTGCCTCAATATAAGCTTCTGAAAATGTGATGCTGGTAGCCATCCCTGTTTTGTCAGTTCAAAAATAAGTGATGAAACCAAAAAATAAAAAAGAGAATCTTGTCGGTTTGGTATTATTAGGAGGTAAATTACATTTTTTAGGACTCAAAATGACTTGGAGCTCAATCCTAATTGGTTAAAATTGACCTGAACTATTACAAAATTGAACCATTACCATTTTACCCTCCATTAAAAAGTGGCATGGTTTCTGTGTTGTTACAAAAGTGGCTCAAAATTACAATTTTGGACTAACGGACCTCATTTTGTGCAATTCTTTATATTTTGGCCCAAGGTCAAATTCTTGGCCATCTTCTTGTCAAAAATCTTGCATATATGTGGACCTTGTTGTAGACCCTTAACATGGTAGTAGGTCTCAAAATATCCATCCATATACATAATGAACGGGAATAAGTACTTTGCAGGAGCCGCCCAAATCTTAAGAAGTGGAGATCTCTCTTAAGCCATGAAAGATACTTGCAAGGACTGGAACTGTCAAGAAAAACTTTTCTTCATGAGCCATCAAAGTAGCAATTTTAAAAACACTAGCACAACTACAATCGATCTTATTGTTGGGCAACACAAATTTGCAAAACCAACATACAAGGAAAGACGTCAGATAAGTCTCAGCTCTAAGTGATTCCTCCACGTCAAGCTCGACAAAGGGGGTATTCTCCTTTGTTGGTTCATGGCAGGAAGCTCACGTCAATATTTTCGAAAGGATTATGATTCAACTTTGGCCTTGTAGTTCGATTCCTTGATGATTTTCGAGGAGGCTTGGCATACCTACCTGGACCTTGAAATCAAAACTCTACCCAATCATAAATGTAGACCACGTGAACATCATCCTTCGTGAGTTGTAGAACGCTGAAAACAAGTACATGCAGCTTCTTAGGAGGAAGGGTTTTCCTTGATTATTTGCTTGTATCTATTGCTTAGTTGAGGGGATAACTTTGTCGTGGAAGGATCCATGCACTGGAATGCCTCTTATTAATTGCAAGTCCCACAAAGAGATGGATAGTTCACCAATAGAGGTAGAAACTATGTTGTTAGATGGACACCAAAGCTCGCAAAAGGCATGAAGGACATTCTCATTATAGTCGTATGTGAACAATGAAGCAAAGATGACGTCATACACCTTGATAAAATCCAAAATATCCTTGTCGCAGGCGAGAACATCTTCTACCCAGTCCTAATATTTGGACTATAGCTAACTCCACCAAAGCTGGAGGAGGAACACTCTAAGTGTTGAGACGTCCATCATGATCATGATGAGGAGGACTAGCAGACACGACCTTCTGATAAATTGAGGACTTGAAAAGTAGGACCTTCATACTGGTGGCTTTATCGGAAATTTGTCCAATATATCTTTCGTCTCTTTAGTCAACTATTTTGCAAGATCAAGAGAGGCGTCAAACGTCTTTCTAATAAGGGAAATAGCACCTATCACTGGAGGATAAACTCACATTATGCTTTTTCCTGCTTTTCGTCCTTGAGTTCACATTACTCTTTGAGTCGGATTTCATCTTTGTGGCTCATTTTCCAATACTCATACAATTAAGCATATTTCATCAGTTTTTGGGAATATAATTAAATACTTTTGGACTAAAACCAAAGTACAAAGGCGCTAATAAGTAGTCAAAATCTCCACTTATCAACTCCCCCAACATAAGCTTTATCTTGTCCTCAAGCAACTAAAACAATTTCCACCTCCACAAGTTAAGAGCTATTCCAGCTAGCCTAAGGTGCATCAATCACACATTAACTGGGACCAACAATTACCCACAACACTCGTGAATTATCAACAAGACATTGTTTTGAAGTTTTATGCACAAATAGTTCTAAAGTGGCACTTGAGCATCAAGAGTTGACTTTATTCATCAAGGAAGCTCGATATTTTATGTAGGTCATTGTGGATCCCAAACTCCTCCTCCTCTCCTCTCCGTTAGCATATCTCACTTAAGAATGTAGCACTCAATTCAAGGATTTGTGAAAAGTTCGCTAATCTCTCTCAAAAGAATGTCACAAGTACCATATGCTTGCCTCTCATATAAATCACCACTAATGCAAGTTCACTCGGCTTGAAATCACGTAGGGCTTTTTCGGAATGTAATGAAAACTTCTGGACTAAGGTAGGAAATGTTGGAATAGAACGGCTTCATCTTTCCTTAAGCACTTAATTTTCTCTTTTTGGCTCATGCTTAGCCGACTATTTGAGGCATTTTCTTTTTTCCTAGGGGAACTAGAGAGATTTAATATCACTCTTTCTTGGTCATGAAATTCATTATGATATTCCTTACATAATGAATAGGAATAAGTACTTTGCAATTGTCCAAATCTTGAGAAGTGGAGATCTCTCTCAAGCCATGACAGATACTTGCAAGGACTGGAACTGCCAAGAAAAACTTCTCTCCATGAGCCATCAAAGTCGCAATTTTAAAGACACTAGCACAAATGCAATTGATCTTCTTGTTGGGCAACACAAATTTGCAAAACTAACATACAAGGAAAGCCGTTAGATAAGTCTCAGCTCTAAGTGACTCCTCCACGTCAAGCTCGACAAAGGGGGTATTCTCCTTGGTGGTTCATGGCAGGAAGCTCACATCAATATTTTCGAAATGATTATGATTCAACTTTGGCCTTGTAGTTCGATTCCTTGATGATTTTCGCAGAGGCTTGGCATACCTACCTGAACCTTGAAATCAAAACTCTACCCAATCATGAATGTAGACCTCGTGAACATCATCCTTCATGAGTTTGTAGAACGCCGAAAATAAGTACATGCAGCTTCTTAGGAGAAAGGGTTTTCCTTGATTGTCTACTTGAGTCTATTACTTCGTTGAGGGGATAACTTTGTTGTGGAAGGATCCATGCACTGGAAAGCCTCTTATTGATCGCAAGTACCACAAAGAGATGGATAGTTTACCAATAGAGGTAGAAACTATGTTGTTAGATGGACGCCAAAGCTTGCAAAAGGCATGAAGGACATTCTCATTATAGTTGTATGTGAACAATGAAGTAAATATGGCATCATACACCTTGATAAAATCCAAAGTCTCCTTGTCGCGGGCAAGAACAACTTCTACTCACTCCTAATATTTGGGCTATAGTGAACTTCACCAAATCTGAAGGAGGAACACTTATTGAGACGTCCATCATGATCATGATGAGGAGGACTAGTAGACGCGGCCTTGTGATAAATTGAGGACTTCAAAAGTAGGACCTTTATACTGGCCGCTTTACCCAAAATTCGTCCAATGTATCCTTAGTCTCTTTAGTCGACTATTATGCAAGATCAAGAGAGGCGTCAAGCGTCTTTATAATAAGGGAAAAACGCCTATCACCGGAGGATAAACTTTTAAAGCTTGGGCACTCCGATTCTGTTTGTTGCCTAGCAATCTCAACGTATAGGGATGGCATATCATTGTCAATAAAATGTATCTTTGTTGATGGAATTCATATCCTATATGCTGCTTCGAGAGTCTGCAAACAAAAAGGATTCAATAAAAATAGGCAAAATTGAAAGGGCCGGCATGTCAAAATTTCTTGCATAACTTCAAGAAAATATCCGGAAAGATTTAGGAATATTTGGATTATGAATTATATATATATTTTAGCTCAGGATGTTTAGTTTCCGGTACCGTAAATTGCTCGTGATTTCGGTATTCCTATATTAAAATATAAATATTTTGTTGAAGTCTCATAAAGATGAAAAGCCGAGCACAACAAAATATGAAGCAAGTTTAAGAAATTTACTTGGGATGGTACAAAGTGAATTTAGCTTAATATTTTTAATATATTGCACCACTATGAGGTTAGTTTAAAAAGAATCCAGCAGCTTGTATTTTCGAGATTCCTACAAAGAGATATGTATGTTTTTTATAGAATATGCAAAGCTGATAATTCCTAGCAGCTTCTGCAACAAAGGAAAAAAAAGTTAGTCACATAAAAAGGGATGACTCGAGAGCAGGTTTCAAAGGTAGTGATTAAATAAGGGAAAAGAAAAGAAGGGGGTAAAAGAGAGCATAATAAAAGGGATAAAGGCTGTCAAGGGACTTCTACAGCAAGACCTTCGAAGGAAGCCAAGAGCTAAGAAGTTCCAAGAATATGTGATGAACATGGTTGTATAACTTGTTTCTTATACTGAGTTATTAAGGGGTTGTTTATGGCTTGTTGTGCATGAATTTTTTTTAAAGGAAAAGAGCAATCCTAGTTGACCAAGGAAGTCTTATATAGAAGTTTTGGGGTGCTGCTAAATTAGAAAGACCAACGTTTGAGGAATTTCTTTGAACTAAAGGAAAACTAACTAACCTTGTCCTACATGGAATAGGTTTAAGGAAATTTTTTACCAAATTTGATGGTTTCGATTTTGGCCTATACAAAATAAATTTTGTCTTAATTGAACCACGTAGAATAAACTTGTTTTGGTCAAATATGAATTTAAAGATTAGTTGAACTGTCAACATGTGCTAAGATGATATCAATTAAAATTTTCACTTTGGTAATATAGTTAAAACCTGAGTTCGAATGTACGCAATAAGGTAAAGAAAATTAAATAAGAGAACCGTCCGGCAAGCTCAACAAATACCACCACAAAGCACAATGCTATAAATCCATCACATAAAAGAGAAACAAAACACATGAAATAAGCACAAATGATCATATTCCAACATAACTCTACTGTGATGCGTGACCCAATCCAAACACCAACCCACATGGAATACTGATCACGCCCAACTATGCCTTATAAAAAGGACACGCGGACGTTGCAAATATAATCTGAGTATTTCGCCCAGAGTCGAAACCCACAAGGAATTAACCTACCAATTACTCTTATCAGACTCACTAAATTCTACATAATCAACTTTCCAAACATTTTGAATAACAATTGAGGATATTTTTACTAACTATGACAGACTGCAATGATGTAAATAAATACTAACTATGGTTAAGTTGTAAACAATTAAGAGAAGGATCTAAGATAGTGATTTTCCCTATTGACGGAATCCCTTCCGGTTATGTTTCACATAGATTCACCTAATCGTCTCTATCAAT